TATATATATATATATATATATATATATATATATATATATATATATATATATATATATATATATATATATATATATATATATATATATATATATATATATATATATATATATATATATATATATATATATATATATATATATATATATATATATATATATATATATATATATATATATATATATATATATATATATATATATATATATATATATATATATATATATATATATATATATATATATATATATATATATATATATATATATATATATATATATATATATATATATATATATATATATATATATATATATATATATATATATATATATATATATATATATATATATATATATATATATATATATATATATATATATATATATATATATATATATATATATATATATATATATATATATATATATATATATATATATATATATATATATATATATATATATATATATATATATATATATATATATATATATATATATATATATATATATATATATATATATATATATATATATATATAAATGGACATGTATGTCCCTATATTTCACTTTTTCGCCAAAACTACACATCGCACGTGAATGGTGTTTGTATGTGGTGGTAGCCCCAAGTCTCCATTCGTGCATAGGGGTGGTTGCGTCTCGATAGCCATAAGGGTGCAGGATATATGAGGCTAAAAGTAGTTGAAAGTGGCTTTCTATTTTGAATGTTTTGTTCGAATTTAATTTGAACAATGTTCAAATTTGTTCGAATTTGTTCAAATTAAATTCGAACATAAAATTCGAATATTGGTTCGATTATAGAACGATTGTAAACGTTCCATAAACGTTGAAAATAGTTCGTTTGACTAAACGTAAAAATTCTCTAATTAGTCTGAAAACGGGGGACCTAATTCTTGCATTCTGTGAAAACGGGTAAGATTAACTATAACATAATTATCTTAATCTTCACTATCGTTACTTTTTGCCCAGCGAAGTGGGTCCTTGCAGCTAGATTCTAGATTACTTAGAAAAACAGTCTTTTATATATATAAAAAAAACTATATTACATACAAATAAAACCCCAGCGAAGCGGGATCTTGCAGCTAGTAATCCATATAAACTATGCTATAAACAAAAAATTGTAGGATTACTTACTGAGTGTGCACCGTTCGACGACGCCATTGCTTAAATTAAGCTTGTTTTCATTGAAGCAGCGCATCGAATAGGGGTGTGTGTTTCCTGATAAATTATTTTTCTGTGAAAAATTTGCTAAACTTTGGAGACATCATTAATATAAATATAATTTTTATGGACGTTAAATAATAAATGGTTTTTAGTAGGTCCGCTGCTTGTTTAAACTCAACGGTTTGTGCAATATCCACTATTGGTCTAGATTCGACCAATCCTGTCACGACACGAGTCAGCGATGACATTTTACCATATTTTACTAGTTTCTTTTAGCATGTTTATACGAATGTGGTTGCAATTTTTTCGCCATTATATATGAATCCGAATTATATGAACCCGTTTTATAGAGGGGTCTACTGTACATAATTTTTCATTATTTTTATTGATATTACAATGATGAAACCATGCTTATTTTCTAATCTTATTGCTGCTATATGTTTTGATAATTTGCTTTCTCAACTGACACTTTGTTTCTCAAACATAATATCTCAGTTGTACATACTAGTCTATACACCACACCTGACTCTTAGGTTGTTTGTTTCATTCTTTGGTTTCTCTGCTGTTAATTTATTTAACCCGTTTTTTTTTTTTTGGGATGGAGCAAGTTTAATTTGATAATTACTCAATATTATTGTCATGCAATATTATTATATGCATATTTTCTTAATTAGAGAGCTTATACATGGATATAAACAACTTCCAGCAAGCATAAACTTAATAATCTAAATTATTGGTTTTTTATAATAATAAAATTTTGTTTCTATAAACTTTAGTATTTGAAACATTTCAATAAAAACAAATATTACAATAAGAGTAATATAAGAATAACTCTCAATATGCTTATCTGTTATCAGTTATATTTGATGTTCAGAACATAATTTATGAACATTCTTAATTTTTATTTATTTTTTGCTGTTTTCACCTTGTGGGCATTAAGCACTTTGAGCTTTTTTCCATTGCTGAGTGGCAAGGGGCAGCCTGGTTCCAGGACAGACCAGACCACCTCCAAAAAATTCTTGAGGTCACTTGCCTGGATTCGATTCCGGATCCCCAGAGCCGACACCTTAACCGCCTCAACTGTCTGGCCATGTAATATTCTTCATTTTGTACATTTCCAAGATAAACTACTGATCAATCATTAATACTAATTTTATTTAAAGCATAGAATCAATTTGAAAAAAATAAATTTTTTTTATACATGAAGAGAAAATTAGAAATACCTGTCTTAAAACAGAAGCTGAAAGTCCATTATATAAAGCTAAAATTCCTTGGTGTTTAATAATATTAATTGTGCTTCTAACAATACTTATTTTTCCTTCTTGTTGTGTTTGCAAATGAACCTGTAAAGATATTATGAAAAATAAAAATCTTTATTGAAAACAGTACTAAAAATTATTATAAATATTTAACTGTTTATAAAAATTTAGAAATTAATTAGTTTTTTTTAAAATATTCTAACAAATGTTATCAAAATTTTACATAAAGAAATTCATTGCTAATCAATCTTAATATTTCTCATAAATATTAATTAATATATTGTACTCAAGATGACAATTTATCATTCTAAATTTAATATTAGAAAAATCCAGCAAACGAGTTGCTTAACTTTTACGGCAACATTTAAACATTAACTGCAATGTGTGGTGTCATCTGTTACAATATTCCATTTAAAAATGTTTTATATTTTTAACCATTTAATAAATTTTTGCAATTTTATAATAAATAAAAAAAAAAGCTTAATTTTCAGAATAGTGACAGGCTTTATAAAAAATTGTAAAGGCTAATAACAAATAAAATTGTTATTACATCTGATCCTACTGGAGATACACATGACCCCCATTATCTTCTCACCCCCTCAACCTTTAACCACCAAAATTTAATAGAACTAATCTCCCTAATACACAATCCACCCTGCAAAATTTCATTTTGCAGGGTGGATTGTGTAGAATTTTCGACAAAAAGCACACTCCTGTGCTTTTTGTCAAAAATTATTAAGGAGTTATTAAAAATTACCTTCTTCAAAGAGGTAACAAAATCATACTCCACACTCATACATACAGAAAAACCCTCCAAACTCTTTTTTTTTTTAATTTCTCGGCATTTCACGGTCCAAAGTTAAAAATGTAAAATCTAGGGGAGTGGACATTTTTTGACCAAACACCATACTTTTCCTCTTTTATATATAACAGAACCAAGCAAATAAAAACAATAATAATTCTGTACAAAATTTAAAACCTAAGATAAGTAACAATTTTCCAGGAATCAATTTTTGAAATGAAAATGTGATTCTAAAAGTTAAATTCTATCTGGATTCCTTTATCCTTCTGACTATAGTTTATGACAGGATTGGCAAACCTTTTTGAGCCTGCATGCCATATAGTAAGCATACTTAGCTTATTAGATGTTTATGGGTGCCATAACGAAGTAATGATATTTAAATAAATTAAATGAATGTGCTTTCATTAAATAAATGTAGAAGATCTGATTGAAAAAAGGATGATCAGGTAATAAACAAAAGGATAATTGAAAAAGACAGATGCTAAATCAGTCATGTGATATTTTACATGCCGGATGATTTCTCCTCATGTGCCACTTTGGGAATGTGTGCCATAGGTTTGTCACAAGCAGTCTCTACTTATATTTAAGTTTCATTTTTACTTTTCTGGCTGTTATATATAACAGAGGGCCAGCATTTCTCAAACTTTTTGCTCGCCAACCTAACATATTTGTTTGTGACCCAAATGTTTGTAATACAAAATTTCTAAAATAAACCTGGTAAACTGAAATCACTGTATATTATACAACAAAATAAAATTATACATTATTGATAATATCTTCTGCGTGTGAAATGTAACATTGATCACATTTCTTGCTCGCCAACCTAACATATTTGTTTGTGACCCAAATGTTTGTAATACAAAATTTCTAAAATAAACCTGGTAAAGTGAAATCACTGTATATTATATAACGAAATAAAATTATGCATTGTAGATAATAATTACTACATATGTGAAATGTAATATTGAGTACATTTCTATTAACAGTGGTTCTGGGCAATTTCGATTTGTAATAAATAACTTACTTCAATTTCAGTTTTAATTATTTAAATNATATTCAATGAAGAAAATTCGTCTGTCTGTGCGTATATATGAATATTTTAACGTTAAAAAAATTAAGGAAGCATACAAATAAATAAAGTTGACTTTTAGAAGTTTAAAATATTTATATAAAAAAAAGTATTGAGAATTTTTTGAAACTTTGAGTAAAGAGTAATCAATAGTATAGTGATATATGATTCTGATGGTTTGAGTTGACATATTCTTCCCTGAAGAACGTTATTCTTTAGAAAGTTTATATAAACTCTTAAATTTAAGCGCTCTCTTTCATCATATGCAGTTTGTTATATTAAATAAAAAATATTTGTTGAGATTTATCATAATACTTTATCACTATCTGCTCAATAAGCAGTTCTGCAAACGTAAGAAAAAAATTGGAGTAAATATTTCCCCAATTTTCTTTTTATTAGAAGTCGGAAAATAATGAGAAATCAATTTAATTTAGAAAAGATACCTCGAGCGTATTATTATTAATGTTTTCAGTGTGTAAACTTCCAAATTCATAAATTCTTTTATAATAATTTCGTGATTTTTTTTAAAAAAAGTGGCCATAAATACAAATTATTATTCAACTTTCTCTCAGAAGTATTTATTTTGCAATGAAAGATGTAATATTATTTACCTACATAAAGATATATTACAAAGTTGTAAACGGTTTTTGTTAGAATATTTAACTAATTTTCTTACGCAAACAGTTGTAAAATTTAATATAAAAATTTAGTTTCATTTACCTTGTATTCTCCTGGTTTAGCATTCATCATTCTTGTCTTTAAGACATCTAATGGTTGAGTCATCGTGGTGGCTATGCTTGCCTTCAAATTAATTAAATTTAGTTTCATTAATTAAAACAATTACTTTGAATTTATTTATTTATTTAGTAAAATGATTAATAAATTTTCGTTTACTTACGGCGGATAAACTTGCCGTGAAATGAGTCAAGAGATTATCTGTAAAATATCCACTTTGCATAAGCAATTGTTTGATTTGTTCGTACATGGATATCTAAAATTTCACAAATTCAATTAGATAGTCTTTATTGTAACTTTTGTTTATTAGAAAACTAATTATTTACTTACTTGTCCGATGGTCATAAGAATGGCTCTGGAAGTTGCTGTGGTTGCTCCAGAGAACAAACGAGGTACCCCTTCATTTTTGTACACTTGATAAAGACCATCTATTGCATGTTTATAGCTAAAGTGTAGGGAAAAGGCATAAATTTGATATGTAAAATGCACATTTTTATTTTAATTCCATACTGTGTATTATAAAATTTAACATACAAATAATATAAGATTAAATTTTCACATAATATAATGATTCTCTCCAACTTAACAATGCTAACAGTTCTTGAAAACAAGCAACAGATCCTATACAGTATGTCAATTTGCTTTGTACAGTTGTAAAATAATTAGTAACTAATAATGGGCATATTTGAATGCAAGAACCAAGAAGTATTCAATATCAAAAAGTTAATTCCCTGACAATTCTTGTCAATAATGCCAATTATCCAGCAAGTTTATTACAAAAATTACAGTTAACAATTAATTAAGTATTAAAATTCCTCAAAAATCAATATTTGGTCATAGGATAGATTAGTCCGCATATTTGATCCGGCATGTTGAGACAAATGAAAACTGAATATACAATGGGAGGGTGAAATACTGTTACCGATTCTCAAATCACTTGTTTGCTGTTGTGTGAGCTTGTAAGGATTAGATATAAAGACTTTTGATATTTGAATATCCAGCACAAGTTCTCTTGCAACAGCACTTTTCTTTTGGAATCGAGTAGATCAATTCTTGCATTAATTTAATGTAATTTTTAAAATAAACTGTAAAAGACTACAATAAATTAATTTCTAGTAAGAATTATGTTTACTTAACTAATTATATGCAAATTAAAATATTTTGTTAAAGTTTCTTTTTAATCTTTTCTCATTAAGAATTTCCATAAAATTATCAATAAATATTAGAATGTATAAAAAGTCTGAATGTAACTGTTATATGTTTTTAATGTAAATATAGAACACTATGATACTGTCACTACAGATTCACATACTGTTTGTTGTATCCATTTGGACTGATGAAGAGCTCTGTAACCAGCAAATTGAATTCTATAAGAGAGTCAAACAAACTGGCAAAACAGGATAAATGAGTGATTATGTCAAAAAGTAGACACAGAATAGTAAATGTAATGTTAAAGTGAACAGGAGTTCTTCTATTCATTTGGTAATATTTGAACTCAATGCAGATACTTTTTCTATCATTCCCTTATTACAGAAAATAAAATATTTTAAACAGTTGCATACTTTGTAAAGCGAGATCCACATTACTTGACTTAATCTAATGAATAATGTGTGAGAATATTTCTTTACTAACTATTCTTTTGTATATCTAGAAAGCAATATAATTTCTCAAAGTAATGCTATATTCAAAAATGTTAATAATTATAAAAAAAAAAATCAGATATAGGATGTTGAATATCTAATCTTACAAATATAAAACATTACAAAACTTTCTGTAACATTTTTTCTTTCTTTAATCAAATCTTCATTCTTAGAATAGCCATTTAGAACAAGGCCCGATAATAAAAACTTTTGATGCTGACTTTTCCTATTAAGATAATATAATAATATTTACACTGTGTATAACTTGTAGAGCAAGTACTGTTTTTAGTGCAATTAAATATACAGTCATCAAACACCAGATATTTCATTCTTTTAACTCTCCACCCTGCTCCTTAAAACACCGATATTAGTAACGTCACTAAAACGACCAGCCATTGGCAAACACGATATTATATTAATCATCATTCAATCAGCCACTTATATTAGAATGGGTGTGAATTTTTAGTGTGTGATCTTAATTATAATCACCTTATGTACAATATACATATACATATATATATATATATAATATTGCTGCAATAAAAAAATTTAACTGAAATATTCAAATAAATGAAATAATATAAGAAGATATTGGAGAAGTATTCTACACAAATATTAAAGGAAAAAAAGGAATGATTATTCATATCAAAAATAAGAACTAATGCTTATTCATCAGAATAAGAGATTTCAATTACTATAAATTAACTTGAGAAAAATCTTTTTAATTAAACGAAACTGCATAGTTTGAAGTTAAGTTCGTGTGTGAAATGACAATATACTTTGAACTGTCTTCAATAATGTAATTTAATTACTCCAGGCATGAGCAAGACATTTATTGCAGTCCACTAGTGGACTGTGATAGATGTCTTGTCCATGCCTGGGGTAATTTTCGGGTGAAATCTGCAAGATTTCAAATTTGGGAATGTCCTTTTACTTACTCACCAGCTCTTCAGAATCTGCATAAATTTATATGATTTCACATTTAAATAATATTTTATATTGATTGTTTCTTGTATTTTGACATATTTTTAATAACAAACACATCTGTAATTATTATTATCAAGTCTGGTGCTTTTTCTTTTTTAGTCATTAGGTTACTGTGTGTCTTGAAATGTATTATAGGTAGCCCTTATCTTACAAAAATCTATCCACCAAATTTAAACACACCAAAAACACTCATGTTAATGAAAATTCTGAACTTTCATATTATTATATTGAATAGAAAATTATAAACTTTAACATTGTTAATAAATACATTTAGTGTTATGCTATAAAAATATGAAAAAACAAAGGTGCTTACTTTCGTCGCTTTTCAACTGGAATTTTAATATCATTCTGCATCCTGTAAATTATAATATGTAAAGTATAATTTATGTGACAAGACGGGTTTTGACTCGATCCATCAGACTAAATTTATCGAATCTTACCTGACATTAATCATGTCGGCGGGAGTGCCGACGAAACCGCCAGCAGCTCCGCCAACGGACGCCAAAAGTATTTTTTTGTAAAAAGGTAGAGGTTCTCCCGGAACAGTTATCTTTTGCTTGACTACTTCGTATATTCCAAATCTGGTAGTGGAATACGTCAACTGTAATAATAAAAATATATTTATAATTGTTTCAATTTTAACTTTTAAGAAAAGTAATTGTAAAATGTGATTTTAATGCTATTTTATTAATATTTTAACTTAGATTTTTTCTGAAATATGTTTTATAATCATCACATATATTAATTATTAATTTTTCACAGTACTCATTTATATTTTTCCAAACAATACAAATTAGAATAAAAACTTGTAAAGAAGTAAAAAGCCATACAATATTTTAAAACTAAATTTAATGAATTCATTAATAAATGTTAATATTTTCAGAACTGAATAAATTTCTACCCTCAAATTCCAAATGAAAAAAATCAAAAAAAAAATCAAATTATGACGATCGTTCTTTCTCAATAGAATTGAATGTTTTAAAATAAACATAACTACATACTATAAAAGATGTATATTAAAAGCAAAATATCTAAAGACATTCTTTACACTTAAGGAAAATTTTGCGGTATTTTTAAATCTATACTGTCCCAGAAAGACTGTGCCAGGCTAGAATAAGTACTTTGAAACTTTGGATACATTAAGATCCAAAAATTACATTTTTGTACACTGTTTTTATTTGTTAACCTTTAAACTTTAATAGATAAAATGACTGTAATTTTAAAGTATTTTTAATGCTGACACTAACAGTGCAATCAAATTTGAAATCAAACAAAGTTTGCCCAAAAAATATTATCTACTAGGTTCTATTATAAATATAAATGAAAATTCTTTTTAAATAATAAGATATTGTAGAAAAATACTAGAAAAACTTACAGTAAAATGATTTCTTATGAAAGTAAAAGTTAAAAACTTTAAAACTTCCCGAAAAAACCAACCACGAGAAATTATTTTTCTCAATCTTTTACCAATTTCCGGTGAGACTTAATAAAGAATTTGTAAACTACAACTTTCTTTTAACAAGGAACAAAGTTTATTTAAAATTACCTCTAAATGCAATTTGCCGACTATAACAGGGCCTCTTCAGTGGGTAAAGTATTACAAGCAATATCTACATCACAAACATTATGACTTTGATAACAAACTAGGTCACATGAAGATTTATTTACACCCCTTTGTACATTATCCCAGCATGCATCTACACTTGTGCCAGTATTCAAATTAATAATATTGTTCTGCATAACAATTGCATAGTGTTCTTTAATTCCTCTACGTATGATATTTTTTCCTCATACAATCGACCCCTCTATAACACGGTAGATACATTCCGTTCTTTATGAAATTGATGTTCTACGAGTCCTTAAATACACGAGCCAATTACAGCCCGGCACATATGCAGTTTACGGACTACAGCTGTTTGAAAAGTTTTCTTCCATAAAATGAATCAATTCTAGACTAATTTGACTCATCATTTCCAAAATACATATAATTTTTTGGAAATCTATATATATATATATATATATAAAAATGGACATGTATGTCCCTATATTTCACTTTTTCGCAAAAACTACACATCGCACGTGAATGGTGTTTGTATGTGGTGGTAGCCCCAAGTCTCCATTCGTGCATAGGGGTGGTTGCGTCTCGATAGCCATAAGGGTGCAGGATATATGAGGCTAAAAGTAGTTGAAAGTGGCTTTCTATTTTGAATGTTTTGTTCGAATTTAATTTGAACAATGTTCAAATTTGTTCGAATTTGTTCAAATTAAATTCGAACATAAAATTCGAATATTGGTTCGATTATAGAACGATTGTAAACGTTCCATAAACGTTGAAAATAGTTCGTTTGACTAAACGTAAAAATTCTCTAATTAGTCTGAAAACGGGGGACCTAATTCTTGCATTCTGTGAAAACGGGTAAGATTAACTATAACATAATTATCTTAATCTTCACTATCGTTACTTTTTGCCCAGCGAAGTGGGTCCTTGCAGCTAGATTCTAGATTACTTAGAAAAACAGTCTTTTATATATATAAAAAAAACTATATTACATACAAATAAAACCCCAGCGAAGCGGGATCTTGCAGCTAGTAATCCATATAAACTATGCTATAAACAAAAAATTGTAGGATTACTTACTGAGTGTGCACCGTTCGACGACGCCATTGCTTAAATTAAGCTTGTTTTCATTGAAGCAGCGCATCGAATAGGGGTGTGTGTTTCCTGATAAATTATTTTTCTGTGAAAAATTTGCTAAACTTTGGAGACATCATTAATATAAATATAATTTTTATGGACGTTAAATAATAAATGGTTTTTAGTAGGTCCGCTGCTTGTTTAAACTCAACGGTTTGTGCAATATCCACTATTGGTCTAGATTCGACCAATCCTGTCACGACACGAGTCAGCGATGACATTTTACCATATTTTACTAGTTTCTTTTAGCATGTTTATACGAATGTGGTTGCAATTTTTTCGCCATTATATATGAATCCGAATTATATGAACCCGTTTTATAGAGGGGTCTACTGTACATAATTTTTCATTATTTTTATTGATATTACAATGATGAAACCATGCTTATTTTCTAATCTTATTGCTGCTATATGTTTTGATAATTTGCTTTCTCAACTGACACTTTGTTTCTCAAACATAATATCTCAGTTGTACATACTAGTCTATACACCACACCTGACTCTTAGGTTGTTTGTTTCATTCTTTGGTTTCTCTGCTGTTAATTTATTTAACCCGTTTTTTTTTTTTTGGGATGGAGCAAGTTTAATTTGATAATTACTCAATATTATTGTCATGCAATATTATTATATGCATATTTTCTTAATTAGAGAGCTTATACATGGATATAAACAACTTCCAGCAAGCATAAACTTAATAATCTAAATTATTGGTTTTTTATAATAATAAAATTTTGTTTCTATAAACTTTAGTATTTGAAACATTTCAATAAAAACAAATATTACAATAAGAGTAATATAAGAATAACTCTCAATATGCTTATCTGTTATCAGTTATATTTGATGTTCAGAACATAATTTATGAACATTCTTAATTTTTATTTATTTTTTGCTGTTTTCACCTTGTGGGCATTAAGCACTTTGAGCTTTTTTCCATTGCTGAGTGGCAAGGGGCAGCCTGGTTCCAGGACAGACCAGACCACCTCCAAAAAATTCTTGAGGTCACTTGCCTGGATTCGATTCCGGATCCCCAGAGCCGACACCTTAACCGCCTCAACTGTCTGGCCATGTAATATTCTTCATTTTGTACATTTCCAAGATAAACTACTGATCAATCATTAATACTAATTTTATTTAAAGCATAGAATCAATTTGAAAAAAATAAATTTTTTTTATACATGAAGAGAAAATTAGAAATACCTGTCTTAAAACAGAAGCTGAAAGTCCATTATATAAAGCTAAAATTCCTTGGTGTTTAATAATATTAATTGTGCTTCTAACAATACTTATTTTTCCTTCTTGTTGTGTTTGCAAATGAACCTGTAAAGATATTATGAAAAATAAAAATCTTTATTGAAAACAGTACNCAAAAAAAAAAAAAAACTTTCTTTAAAAATTATTTATAGATCCAAAATTCATCTGTTATTTATTTTTTATAATTTATTGTTATGTACGACAATAAACCTAAAAGTTTGAATAAACAAAGAAATATTTTCGAAGCCATTGCAACTGAAATGGCTTTATGACTATGATCTCACTTGAAATATCTATTTTGACATTATTCAAAATAGAAGAGATATATATACATTCTATAATCTTAATTTTACTACAAAATGACAATAATAATGATAAGAAAAAAGTTGTTAACAATTTTCAGTACTTAACTTAATTTTCAGTACTTAAGATGCATCTATTGTTCCTAGTTCTTAGAGAATACTTCAGTAAACCAAGTTCCTTGCTGTAGCTCCAATGTACACACTATCCTAAAGTTGTGTAGGGGAATAGCATATATCCATGGTAAACAGAAATCTTCAACATGTTCTTTGTCATTTCTTATCATGGAGAAAGTCCATAAGCTCACAGAATCATGGTTCCAGTCTGACTGATGGAAATAGGGATTCAGTCACAAAGTGACCATGGTGTCCTTGGAGAGGTTAAGTTGCCTGAGTTTGTCTAGCATTTCCTTGGAATTGGAGATGATAAAGGGTTAATTTTCTGTTGGTACAGGAATATAGTATTCTTTCGTCCAAACGTACAGTGACAATGACTTGGCTATCACTAGACATAATTGGTTCCCAGCTTTGTGCATGTTTGCAAAAACAAATGTATGGGGTAGTGAGGGAGCAAAGACAATGGCATTAGAGAGCCCAATTGATTTGCTAAAGGGGTGTTCAAATGGCATTTCATTCTAGTTTGTGTCTTCTCTAAGATCTGCTGATGCCTTGGAGCATTCTGTGGAGTTAATATATTTAAATATGCCTTTGCTGTAGGTATCCCTTGACAGGAGTATCAAATCCCTGGACTTATCTGCCCTTATTGTGACAATATTGTTAGCTTCAACCATTTCCTTGATGCTCAGACCTCAGACCAGATTACTAAATCCAAATGTTTGGAAGGTTGGTTTCATATTTTGAGCATCGTTTTACTCCAGAATTGTTCCTTGGTGGTGGAAACAAGCCCTTCAATAAGTTTCTCTGTGTCAGGGATGTTCATAAGGATCTAGTGAAGGATGTGACACATATACTGGACCACAAATGACAACATTGATAAACTGGGGAGGAAGGTATATTTCCTCCTACCATCCCCTGCAGATGAATCCTTCTGGCATGCCCTTCCAAAATTACTACTGCATTTACATTGATATAGCCACAAATAATTTTCTTCTGATAGTAATAATGACATTAAGTTTTCTCATAACCAAATCAGCCAAAATTGTCACTGAAGCTTTGGTGTCATATAGAAATAAAAGTTGAGGATTGCAGTCAAACATATAAGTGAATTACAATATTTAGGATGGAGTACTTATAGCATCTTGCCAATCTAATTGTTTTTCTTAATCATAAGTTCCTAATTGTCAGAACATACTACATTCCAAAGAACATATTATTGCATTAGAAAAACTGTCTAATACAGTGCTATGCACATATGTGGGTGATGATGTCCACATTATTTTCAATGAAACAAGATTCCTACATTGTATGGGAGATCTTGCATAATTAAAACAAGCCCATTATGGATTCAGCCAGGCCCACAATGGGTGGTAAGAGATTGGGAACAACATATCCAGATGACCCCCAAAAAATTCCTGGAGATTATTCGACCCCATCTACATTCAATCCTAGATCCCCCAGAGTGGCAGGCTGCCACTCAGGCTGATACCGATCCAGTTGTCTATGATATGAGCTTACCTAAGGCATTTCATCTGTGTTGTGACATTTTTTTATTAAGTAAGCAAATTTATTTATTTTTCCAATATGTAGTATATGTATGTTACATAGCACATGTCCAAAACCATCTTTTTAAAGGTTTAATTTAAAGTTCCTTCTGTTATTCAACATAATATTCTTTTCTGCTTATAAGTTGAAGATGTTCATTTGAAATAGACAAAAATATTCATTATAGTAAATGTTTTGATTTGATATAACTGGTTTAGTGTAAAAATATGTTCTTTGTATACTCTCCCCATTTAATCTTACATCATACAAGGTGTCTTGTAAGTCTCAAACTATAGAAATTATGCTGTTTTTTGTTTATTCTTCTACAATTAAAGTATAGCACTGAGTAAGAGGAAAAGGATTCAAGTTATTTTGATGGTGGAGACCTGAAATCAGCAAAGAGTTTAACAGGCTGCATCCAGACCGCTGTGTGTGATTGGCAAGAAGTCCTAGTGCAGCCTACTAAATGCTTTGGCAACTTCATGTCAATTGTGGGTCCCCATCATCAGAATAACTTAAATTCATTCCTCCTTACTCAGTATCATGCTTAATCTGTAAAAGACTAAACAAAGATTGACAGAATTCCTTCAGCTGTAGACTTATGGGACTCCTTATATATTCCTTGTAAGCGTAAAGAAATACAAGTGAATAAGAGAACTGGAAGATAAATATCTTCTGTAGCGAAAAAATATACATATTTAAACATTAAAATACGATCAAATTTTATTTGTTTATTAAAAATAAATTGAGAAAAATATTTACAAGCTTTCAGAGTATAAATTTTACTTTATTGTTTACAATTAAGTGAAAACTCAATTATCCAAACTTGATGGGACCAATGGTATTTCAGATAAACAAAATTTTGGATAATCCAGAAATTTGTTTATTTTTGTGTTTTGGGTACACCGTGCAATTAAAGTTTCATGACATATAAATAGTGTAACACAATTACAGTATTTGAAGGTAGAATAAGTTACTCAAATTCTAACATAATTTTATATGACCTAGTTTTGTGATACTACAGTTAACAAAAGACATGATAATCTCCAGTTACATAGAGAGTTTGGTCTCTGTATATTATACTGTATGATATGTACAACACTACACATTCTAGTTTTTTAACCCATTTTGGAAAATCAACTTTCTAATGTATATAATAAAAAGATGTGTCTATTTAAAATCCTGTCAAATGTCCATTATATAAAAGTCATTGTTTCGTAGTCTTACCTTCAAAAGATCAAGTGGATGTGTACAACAAGCAGCACCGGCACCGGCCAGACCTCCAAAATACCAACGAGCTAAATTGGCTTCCGATCTCATTTTTCAATATGTTCTTTATGTATGTTAAAAATCCTAAAATTCAAAGAATAAATTAATTTAATAATTTAACAATTATCAGTTAAATATCATTAAAAATTATTTCAATAACAAAGAATTTCCATCGAATTTCAAAACAACATTATGAATAAACATGTTACAGAATTTTTGGAACAAACTTTTTTTATTGGAACAGAATAAAATACATAATTACTGTAATTTATAACCCTTCTGGCATTCATCAATAGAAATTTCTATCAATATAAAAAGGTATGTCTGTCTGTCCACTATAATCTTTTTCCCTCTACACCCCTTGACCAATCTGTACCAAATTTTTCATTGTTACTCTCTGAATCCTGTTAAAAATACCAGCTACAATAAAACTTCATTACCTAATAAGCAATGTGAGAATTTTTAGTACATTTTTAGCAATTTTTTAAAAAATTAAATATGTTAGTAATCATTTTCATAAATTTACAAAGAATTATGGCAATGATAAAATATGACAATTTGTCCCTTTTAGTTCCATTTATTATTATTCATATGCTCAGAAATGTTAACTCATTTTTGTATTTTTTAAATAAAGTATTTACAAAAAGTATTGCTTTCATAATTCTTTGCATCACTTGTGACAACTTCTGGAAAATAAAATTTGCTTGGAATAGTTTTTAATACTTTAAAGCCTTATATACTATTCAAAGTAATAAAACCAAATATCAAACTCAGCTTTTTTAAACACTTAATGAAACATCAAAAACCTATCGCTGAGAAATGTTTATTAAATGAACACTAACATAAAAAAGAAACTCATAGTCTGCACCTGTCCTTACACTTAGATGCATTTTTATGTATTTTATCATTTTATTATATTATTTATATCATTGTTGTTTTAGTTTATTAAATATATTTTATTTTGTTATTTATTTGTTAATTTATCTATTATTTTCATTTTAAATTTGAATGTACAATAGAGCATCGATTATCCGACCCCTGATTAACCGTCACATCGGTTAACTGATTATTCTAGTTGGCAAATTTCAAATGTCCGCTAGTGATGTGGCGCTACAATATTTGGCTATGTCTTGGATACTTTTGTTAAGTTTTTGCGTGTTTCAGCTGGCAACACCGGCTCGACCATTGAACAGAAGCCAGTATTTAAACGAGACTTAATTTTCTAATTATGAGTGGTTGTTTGTTTTGTGAGCAATAAAATAATTAAAAAATATTTTTTAACGATACAATAGCTATGATTATTATTTAAAGAAAAAATTTGTTAGGCTAAACATCAATGAAAATTCAACATGAAGTATGTTAATAGCGATATACTAATATACTAATTACATGGGATATACTAATATGCTAATATACTATACTTATAATGTATTTTTTCATTCTTTTTGATTATCTAATTTTTTCAGTTATCCGACCAACCTGAGTCTCCAATTGAGTTGGATAATCGATGCTCTACTGTATAATGTTTGGACGTTTCATTGTTACAATTTTAAAATTCGTTCAAATTCAATTACACCTGAAGATGATATATTCCATGAGGCTGAAAAAGTTAATGTTTCATTAAATAAACATTTCTCAGCAAAATAAGGTNTTTATCTATTTCGATTTTAAAAATGTTCGAACCGTTTTAAATTCGAATTTGTCATTGCATATTGGTTCGATTATAGAACGATTGTAAACGTTCCAGAAAATTGATCAAATTGAAAATAGTTCGTTTGATTCTCGGCAATTCTCATCATTCTCAGTGGTAGGTGTTATATAACAATTACTGTGGTTGTTAAAATACTGAATATAAATGGGATTTGCTTGCAAAACCTCCGCGGGCGAAGTCGCGGGTAACAGCTAGGGGAATAATATAAATAAAAGAATGATAGCTACGCGATAATCGTGTCGCTTAGCTATTAAATGATATAAAAATAAACATAAAAAACGCAGTTTTGTCATCAATACAGCGAGAAAGAAAGAAAACAAAGCGCAGAATTTAACGGTGAAATTGTAGTTTTTTACGTGATAGATAAAATTTAATAATTTTATATTAAAACACAGGGTCCAAGAGACCCACTGCGACTCAGGCAAGGGTAAAAAGTTACATGACTCATTGAGTATTAAGATTACATAAAAAACATATAAATATTTACCTTTGGTATTGTCTTTTCGGGATCTCTTCCTAGATGGTTCTTCATTTCTTGACTGGCGTCTAATTACAGAACGATTCCGTAGCCGTAGTTCTGGTTTTTACCACGAGATGCCGCTAGTCTCGTGACGTTCAGATAGCGTATACCTCATACTGTACGGTGTGCTTGAAATTTTTTGTCGATATTTTAGCTTTAAAACCATACTTTATCATCGATAATTGGTTTTGAAGTATTCCCGCTACGTTGCTAAGAAATCGTTATGGAAAATATTGCGTTGGATATATTAGAAAATACTTATTGTTATTGCGATAGCACTTCTCCTCAAAAGGAAATCTTACTAACAAGCATGTAGATTTAGAAGATAAGCAAATCCTGGTGGAGGAAAAGTCTATATTCTGTCGGAAGACTTCATGTCCTGAAGGATTTTCTACTTTCCTTCGATTACGTGAACATCTGGAGAAAGTACTATAACTGTATAGTACATAAATTTGCCTGTGAAATTGAGAAGCTGAAATTAAAAACTATGAAGGGTAAGTAAATTCTGTTCTGAAATTTAAAAATGCTGTATTTAAATAATATATCTTAAAATAATTGTTTTAATGAATATTAACAGCTCATTCAGTAGTACTGTAATTAAAAATATTATGTACTGTATTTGACAGATTTCTACGAATGGAAAGTCACAGATAAGTTGAGAACCAACTAAAGTTAATTGTGTCGTACTGTCTAAAANTAATCCAAGCTCTAAGCAAATCTCTTCTCTAAATAAATAATTTAGAATACCTATTTAAGTATATCAGTTATATTCTCATTGTGCCAACTGGAGAAGGTTCTTAAGTTTTCAACTGGATGCCTGTAACTCAGCCAAAGTCAAATCCAGCAGATTTATAACTAGGCTTTTGCTGTTTGTATATACATTCTGATATTAAAATAATTTTTTATTATATTAAAATAAGATTTTTCTGAAAATTATTCTATAATAAAGTAACCAAACATTTAAAATGAAGTACCTATTTGAAATATTTATAAATTCTCCGAAATGTCTAGCAACAAATTTAGTTTTAACCAAGCTCTTTTAAAATAATTAGCTCCGAATTACTTCTTCCCTAAAACAAATTTTTTTAAAGTTATTTGACGAGTTCTTTCGTAATACACCATTAACCCAATTGATACATTTTCCAATAAAAAATTGTAAGACTGGTAGAAAATTCTAAAATATGATTTCAAATATAATAAATTTAAGATATAAACTATATAAAAAAGTTAATCAAATAGTAATTTTCTACCAACAAGTGGAATATACACGATTTAACTTACATTAAACACGTTCATAACATAAGAAAAAGACAGAGATTCTCGAATACGATTATACCTAAATTATTTGACTTTCCTCATTTATTCAATATAAATACACGTTATCACACAATAAACAACAGGAAGCAATATTTTCCTCCAGTTTCACAACTGACATCCTTTTTTATGTAACAACAAAACAAAACGACTTTAAAGTCTGAAGATTTAAAATTTAAATGCAGAGGGAAAAAAACAAAATTTCTGCAGCTGTAAAACCACGCAAAAGGTCGCGACCCCAGCTCCACGTGCAAAAACAGCAAAGAAATTGGCACGAATCGCATACTTAAGCGAATTTCGAATCATTCATTTAAAAGGTCAACGTTACAATTAAATGTTCGAGCTTAAAATAATTGAAGTTTGACCTTTTAAAATGTTTGCAGTAAGGAAGACGGTCAAACTCACTTCCCTTAATAATTACGGGAAGTGAATTCGAAGGAAGACTTATCACGTGTTTCTCTGCCCTCTTATCGTTATCTGTTCCAGTTAAGTTCACGTGGTCCACACAATTAAACCGGTTACAAAATCCTACAATTCATTCCGTGGTTATTTTACCCACTCAAACGAAAAATAAGAAAGCATTTTTTAAAATTTTAAGCAGAGATATGCGGAAAAAAGTATCTTTAAATCATCAACAGAAGACGCCATATTCTCCAGATATCGAAGGGTAGAGTTCATGAACTTAACATACTTTGACCTTGGCGCGTCGAATCGCTTCCCTCCAGCATTTGTAAGTCGACGGCAGCGCCATCTTACGCGTTACATCCATTAAATTATTAATTAAAAATATATNTGATCCAATTGAAATTCTACCTTACCTCTCAACAGTCCGTCGCAATTAGCACTCTGTTCCATTTTTTCCACTTTATGAGACACAATACTCAAGTCTTCCTTTATATCAGTATACCTCTTTTTCAATGTATTTAACTCTTCCTTAATTTCACTCAGATCCACATAAAGTTGAGAGAACTTCTCCTGTATTAGATCATAAACTGTTTTAATAGTATAATTTGCTTCATCACCGAGGTCTTCCTCCCCAACAGCTGATGGAGTAAAATAATCCTGTATTTTTGCATCTCTTCCTCCCACCGAGTTTTGTGTCGACGATTCTTCTTCTAGTAAAACAAGATCCTCCTCCACCGTTTCAGTTAAAAGACATCTTCCAGTTTCTCTAGTGTCCCCCTTACGAGGTCTGCCACGACCTCTCTTTTGCATATCAACTCTATCTATATCCAGAGGGGATCTCGACAAAGGTCCCGGTTTAGGTTCAACTCCTGAGATTAATAGCAAACATTTAATTAATTTAGAACTCATTCTATTCATATCAAATTGGATCTTCCGGTATCCCTTCATTATTCTGGAATATGTATGACATCCAAGCAACATGTCAAAGCTGAAACAAAAATTCACAAGCAGCCTCAAACACAGCACCAACTCCCCATTAGAAACTGATAAAGGACAATACAAAATTCTAAAACCATGCTTTTTTATATAAATAATTTTTAGCTTGTTGTTTGGGAATTTTTAATGTTGTGAAGGTTTTTCTATAGTTCAAAGATTTTTATAATTTACTATATTGCTAGATTGTTTATTTTTTTTAAATATACAAACATATTGGCATTATTGTCATAATATTTATTGATACTTGAATAATTGAATAATGAAATAAGAAAGAAGAAACTAATATTGCTGTTTCAAGATTATAATAATTAACCACTAAAAGTTGTTTTTTTATTATGACATTGTATTTACTTGAATAATCTGCACACTTTTACTCCAAAAAATTATAACAAAAAGTTGGGATGTGAGGTTTATTCAAAATAAATTTGGCAACAGTGTATGAAGTCTATGGTGCTTTCAGTTACCAATTAGTATGCATTTTGCTTATTTTACTAGTGTTAAATGTAGTAGATAATGATTATGAGCAATATTATTAAACATTTTGGTGCAACTAATTTTGTGAAAATGAAGATAAATAAAGCAAGTTAAATATAGAAGTGAAGCTGACAGTATATAATCTTTATACCTGTATATTATCTCTTAGTTCAAGTTATTGGTCTTTTATGTGTTTTTCACCTTTGATTCAAATTAAACAGTTTAAGGGGGTTTTACTTTCATTTAATTAGTAAGTTAATTCATTGTAAAATACATTATTGCAAATTGCAGATAATTTATATTTATCTAATGTACAAATAACTTATTATTTTTTCCTTAGTATTTTTTATTTTTTAATACCACATTGACTTGTTAATTGAGAACTGCCGTATTGAATGCTACAAAATATCAAGAGTGAATGTAGCCATTGTGTTATAATCATAAATTAGTAAACTTTCTTAAATATATAATAAACTGTTGGTTTTTTTTTTATAGATTCTAAAAAAATGGGGTGTGTGGATTACTTGAGTAAATGTGGTAATTGTTAATTATTTAATTTTTTAACAGAAGCCCATAATACATTATACTTCAATCATTTTTTTTCTTTACAAGTAAATAGAGAAGTCCCAAAGAACAGTTGATATCTATCTTCAAAAATTAAAAAATATATATAAGAAAACATATTTTAATATATTTTATATTGAAAAAATAAAATATCAGTTACTATGATCAGACATAAATAATGTAAAAATCAGTTATAAAATGATATTTATGGAAATCTTTTTAATTAATAGGAAACAAAAAGTCCAGATAGCAAGCCTTTACCCTCTCTTGTAATTTGTCCTCCAACATTGACTGGTCATTGGGTTTATGAAGTTGAAAAATTTATTTCACCACAATATCTAAATCCTCTTCATTATACAGGACCTCCTGCTGAAAGAATAAGGTATTTAATAATTAATAATATGTTTTTGATTAGTTTACATGTTTAAAAATTTTAACGTATTCGTTCGGGTTGAAGCTTGGGAATATGTCGCTGTTCCATTAATTGTAACTATTATTAATAAAGATCTTTTTTCAAAACAAATTCTACACATTATCTGAATTTTTCTTATTTATTTATTTAAGTTTATTTTATTCTGCAGTTTGGTGTGTATTTATATATTCTGGAGTGACACTGTTGAATTGATATAAACTCATTAAAATTACTTGAAATCATTCCTTACGGCAAATGTTTTAAAACAAAGCCAGTTGACGTCAATTATCGGAAAGTGATATTAAACGCGAACAAACGACGAGTCATCCGCCATTATTCACTTTTTCCGAGAGAACATTTAAATAGTGGATATGATTTGAATTGTCATAAAATGTTTTCGAAGCACGCGACATTACGGTTGCCAAATGTCCCGGGATTTTTCCGGTTACCATCTAGCGACGGGAGAACTTTATTCTAAAAGTGAAAATACACATCCCGGAATTTATAAGCATCGGGATGACGTCATCAGACAAACGTCATTTCTTGCGTCATTCTTCGCGATATTCAAGTAATTGTTAACGAATTAACAATGTAACGAAGTTATTGTCGGCCGATTCTTCTCATCTTTTCGAAGATTTTTCTACAAATATAAACAAAACAGCAAACGCTTGCTGAGCTTATTATTACTTTAATTTCAAACGTTTTCAGCAAAATTCCAATAGGCCATCTTCAAGAACTTATTATTCTACAATCGAATACAACTTTCGAATAAATTTTAAATTTTTTCGAATTATTTGAAAAAAAATTTTTTGAACTCTTTGGACCAGTTTCAGAAATGAGATCTAAATTAAAAATAGTTATTTATTTATTAATTTTTTAATTTTCTTCTGTCTTGTCTCCAATAAAAGGGCATTTTTTTCATGCCCATCGTGAGTTTAACCAGATACCCGGTGACGACGAACACTTAGCAAGGGACAGAGTACGACACATCCTGGCTATGTTCTTTGCAGGCATGTCCAGACCAATCATGAAAAATTCAAACGTGGTCCTCCAGAATGTCAGGTCAATGCCTTTTCTACCTCAGCCATTTTTTTTTTTAAAACTCTTTCCGCCCTGTGGGCACTAAGAGGGCCTCTTTTTGCAAGCCCATTATGGGTTCGGCCAGGCCCACAATGGGGCTGCTGGGTGGTGAGGGACGGGGCCCGACATATCCGAACAGATCACCCCCCCGAAAAATTCCTGGGGATTTTTCAACCCGTTCGGATTCGAACCCGGGTCTACCAGAGCGGTAGGCTGCCACCTTGACTGCTCGGCCATCCGGCCACACCTCAGCCATTTTTAAAGATGGCATAGAACATTTTCTATGCCAATTCTTCTTTTAAAATAAGTGGTTTACACTTGTTTTAAAGGGACAACAAATTATTAACTTTTGTTGTCCCTATCTAAACCATAGCTTAAATTTCAGTACTTTTAAGCTATGGAATAAACCTAAATATTTTTTTTGTTAGCTTTTAAAATTTATCTTCAACACCAAAGAATTTTCTTACTAATCAATAATCTGCTAGATTTTTCTCCAGTTGATTAATTTTAATGAAATTCTGATGAGAAGTAGGCCTATTTAATAGCAACTATAACAGTAATGTTTAATTCTTAGTTAATAATTTGACATCTAAAGAAAAGATTACCTTAAACAGAGACTCAAGTATGTAACCTTTACACATTACTAGTTAATCCAAGCTCTAAGCAAATCTCTTCTCTAAATAAATAATTTAGAATACCTATTTAAGTATATAAGTTATATTCTCATTGTGCCAACTGGAGAAGGTTCTTAAGTTTTCAACTGGATGCCTGTAACTCAGCCAAAGTAAAATCCAGCAGATTTATAACTAGGCTTTTGCTGTTTGTATATACAGTACATTCTGATATTACCATAATAATTTTTAATTATATTATTCTATAATAAAGTAACCAAACATTTAAAATGGAGTACCTATTTGAAATATTTATAAATTCTCCACAACGTCTAGCAACAAATTTAGTTTAACCAAGCTCTATTAAAATAATTAGCTCCGAATTACTTCTTCCCTAAAACAAATTTTTTTAAAGTTATTTGACGAGTTCTTTCGTAATACACCATTAACCCAATTGATACATTTTCCAATAAAAAATTGTAAGACTGGTAGAAAATTCTAAAATATGATTTCAAATATAATAAATTTAAGTTATGAACTATATAAAAAAGTTAATCAAATAGTAGTTCTACCAACAAGTGGAATATACACAATTTAACTTACATTAAACACGTTCATAACATAAGAAAAAGACAGAGATTCTCGAATACGATTATACCTAAATTATTTGACTTTCCTCATTTATTCAATATAAATACACGTTATCACACAATAAACAACAGGAAGCAATATTTTCCTCCAGTTTCACAACTGACATCCTTTTTTATGTAACAACAAAACAAAACGACTTTAAAGTCTGAAGATTTAAAATTTAAATGCAGAGGGAAAAAAACAAAATTTCTGCAGCTGTAAAACCACGCAAAAGGTCGCGACCCCAGCTCCACGTGCAAAAACAGCAAAGAAATTGGCACGAATCGCATACTTAAGCGAATTTCGAATCATTCATTTAAAAGGTCAACGTTACAATTAAATGTTCGAGCTTAAAATAATTGAAGTTTGACCTTTTAAAATGTTTGCAGTAAGGAAGACGGTCAAACTCACTTCCCTTAATAATTACGGGAAGTGAATTCGAAGGAAGACTTATCACGTGTTTCTCTGCCCTCTTATCGTTATCTGTTCCAGTTAAGTTCACGTGGTCCACACAATTAAACCGGTTACAAAATCCTACAATTCATTCCGTGGTTATTTTACCCACTCAAACGAAAAATAAGAAAGCATTTTTTAAAATTTTAAGCAGAGATATGCGGGAAAAAGTATCTTTAAATCATCAACAGAAGACGCCATATTCTCCAGATATCGAAGGGTAGAGTTCATGAACTTAACATACTTTGACCTTGGCGCGTCGAATCGCTTCCCTCCAGCATTTGTAAGTCGACGGCAGCGCCATCTTACGCGTTACATCCATTAAATTATTAATTAAAAATATATATATATATATA